GCTGGGTCTCATTGCACAGCTGCTCAGGGAAACCTGTCTCGGCACTGCTCGCTGTCACCCTGTGAGCCTCGTGCCACGAGCTACCACCGAGCCAAGCGTGGAGGACTCCGAAGCAGCAGGGGGCTATGGGGACAGCACGTGTGGCAGATCAACAGTGCAAATCCCTCTGTGGCTCACCCAGAAAACCTGCTGGCTGGAGGCTCCCAATGACGCTCCTGCCACCTGCCCCAAGCATCAGCAAATGGTGCTCAGGGTCTACCCACGAGACGGCACCGAACAGGTTTGCGTGAAACTGCTCAGAATTTCCCAACTAATGATGTCACTCCTGTTTTGCCTTGGTCCTTCCCTCCAGCTCATCCCTGGGTTACATCAGGGCCATGATGTATTCACCTTGCTGTGCCTCTGCTCCCAGCCCTCTGCACCTTCACTCCGATTTCCTTTGCCAAAAAAAAAAAACCAATTGAAAAAAAAAAGAGCTGGAAGGTTCAAGTGGGCGTCAGTGAATGGAAATGAAGAACCCCACAACAGAGTAATGCTTAAGCCTCAAGAAGACAGATGTCAAACAGAAGCAGGTGTAACTGGTGTAAACTGGTGTAAAAACAGGTTTAAGTGAAATTCAAGTACAAAGGTTCAAGAGCTATTAAAGTGCCTAAAATTCATGAGGTTTTGATCCTACAGTTCCTAAAAACTTGTTATTATTTAGTCTTTTAAAGGCTCAGCAGTAGAGACTTCAAGCTGTTCAAATGGAATGATAACTTATTCCACGCTCTGCTGCAGAGGTAGAAAATAAATGTGAAACTGGATCCTGACAGCATCATTAGATCCCAGAATTGACCCTCTTGCTTTCTGCTCTGCCTGCTCCAAAGAGCATGCTATTTCTGGAGGAGTTTTAAAAAATAAAGCCCAAGCAAGCATTCTCATGTCCTCTCCACTTCCCAAGGCGAAGGCAAGCAGCTCTCTTGAGTGGCCCTCCCATGTACATCACCCTCTGGGTCCTGGCACCAACCACGAGCCGTGCAGCAACTGCAGTGTGCAGCTCAGCACACATGAGCTACAATAAACCTGTCAGACTGTGCAAGACATGAATCATATGGACTGTCACAACAGCAACACAGCGTGTGCAGCCCTGTTAAAACAAACAAACAAACAAACAATCCAAAGACATCCCAAAACACAGATGTAGGTAAACGGCCACTCTCCTGAGGTTGTCAGTACAGTTATGTGACAGGGCTTGCTGGAAAATATCTACCCTCCTGACTTGTGACAATTCAGAAATGCTTCAGAATGGCTGTAGTGAGGTGCCAGGGGAAAGAGACTGACACAGCCTCTTCTCACTGGGACACCGGACCCTGACCAAGCAAATGCCTGGGTTACCTGGGATGCTGGAAGTGAGAGAAAACACCTGTAGCAAAGGCTACTTTCATTGGTCACCGTGGCTGCAGAGGTTGCTCAGGGTCTTTTAGAAAACACATCTCCAAGTGCACTTAGCTGGAGGTGCTGCTTCTCTCACACTGGCAGGGAAGTTACATTGGAGAAACAGCAACAACTTTTCCTGCTTAAGGTTTTCCTGTAGCCCTTGGTACAGCCATGACACTGAAGTATGGAAATAATGCCACAAGTGAATTTGAGGGGCTTGCATTGTCTACTCTTTGGGGCAGCCTTCAGAGTGGATGACAGCTCCATTTATGCTTGCAGACCATCAGGACAGGCTGTTTCAACAACGAACCTGTCACCATAACTAGACTTTGGATGCACATGTATTTTTCAATTTATTACTGTGATACGGTCAGCAGGGATATGGACCATTTCACCATTCTGTTTTCCCTCTTGCTATTTAATGATCTCACTGTGTAACCTCTCAAGCCACAGTCCTTCAAACATTTGCAGACATGCCTCACCTTCTCATGCCTCACCAGCAACTGCAAGGCTATGAGCCACGAGATGAGTTAGGCAGACAAAAGCAAAGGGGAAAGGTGTAAGGCCAGTCTGTTTGCTTTTCCTGGCAGATTTAGTCTGGAGACTTCAGCTTTTCTAGGTCAAGACAGCGTCTGCATCAGGATATATTCTATAAAATCTTTATTTAACTGTTCCCCTAGGGCAGCTGGCAAGACCCTCACACTACTGGCATGTGGGCCTGTGTCTCAGTTTAAGCATATGAACTGTCTTAACTGACCTCAGCAGGACAACTCACGCATTGAAAGCCCACCACATATGTGGTGGCAGTAGCAGGGCATCAGTTATCTTCCCTTGGTTTTTGAAAGGGGGTTTGTGTAGGAAAAAAAAGCAAAAAAACTCCATAAAACTTGGGGATACAATTCAGGTATCCCAGTGATACATGAATCTAAATTAAACCCCTCTCCCGCACTCTCTCTTTTAAAAAGTAAGTACTTTTCTACTGGTGTATAAACTGTAGTCAACTGTAGTTAAGTGCTGTTAACTGATTTCAAAAGAAATCCTATGGAAGGTAAAGTCTCCACAGGAGGGTAAAGTGTCTGGGGTGTGCCCACTTCAGTAGCACACTCTCAGAAAAACTACATTTGATTTTCTTGCAGATTTTTCCTTCCCTTCTTTCTCCATGATTAGCAATATGCATAGAAAAATACGCTCTCTGCTCTCGACAGAGTGTTTGCTGCTGCTGCTGCACATTCTCCACCTGGAGTGAAAATTCTCCGTTGTCACGGCAGCCAACGGTGATGTCACAGACTGAGTATTGTGACTTCAGCTGGAAAAGGAGCAGTGGGAGAAGATGAACTCTGAAAACAAAGATATTGTTTTGGTGTAAACAGCCTTCACAGAAAAGAGGGGGGGGGAAAAAGAGGGAAGTATATATAAACATATGACAAATACAGTTTTCTCAAAGAAGTATAAATAAACATATGATAAATAAGAGTTTTCTCTAGGCAAATATCTTAAAGGTCCAACTAAGTACTGAAAGACCTGTCATTTTTTTTCTGTTCTGTTAAGAAATGGGACCCTTTTAACTTTTGAAACAAACATTTTCTATTCTTTTTTTAATTTTGTTTTTAATATCTTCACGTCTGGTCATTGTCCCAGAATAAGCAAACAGCATTGCTGCATAAAGAAATAAGTCTCATGAAATAATCTACGGTATGTTTCCAAATGTTTCATAAATCCACAGGCAATGTGCAAATACTGCCTGCATTCCTGTGTGAAGGTGGTTGTTTTTCATATAAGTCATGTATTAATGTAATCTGAAAACAAACTTAACCCCATTCAATCACATCCCCTTCCACCTTTACACTGAAACCCAGAGGTTATAATTACACCTGGGAGCAGGAATAAATCAAAACAAATACTCGTGTTGCCTTGTACTCTTTTTTGGAAAGAAAAGTGATCCCATCTACTCTGCCTTATGTGCTTTGTCTAACTCGGAACCAGGATGGCTGGCAGGCAAACAGGCAAAGAGGTTTTCATGAGGTCAGAAATGAAAATAAGGTCACCTCCAGAGGTCAGAAATGGAGTAACGCATCCTATGTCCTAACATGTACCAGATCTTCAGAGGGGGGACTTTATCTTCACTACCTCACCTTCTGCCTCCCAGGACATTTGCAGGCTGTGGCACCCCAGGAGCTCTGTGGAGCAGAGGGGAGGGAGGATGCAAGGACTTTATGGGTTAGACACTGTCCACCCTTTAGTGAGGATTATTTAAAAAGTACCACATCATGACAGTCAACACTTCATGTTCCACAGTGTGGATGTGGAACACCAGAGGTCAGGGCAACAGACTGATGCATCGCTCCAGTGTCTGAGCCCTTTGCTTGCATGGCTCCACACTGTCTTTTGGAGGAGACAAGCCCCTCCCATGGTAACAGCCCCTTTCCTCCAAAATCCCTGCCCCAGAAAAACTTTGTGTTTCCTTTGCTAGGGTGTTATGGGAGATGGGGCGCTGGTGGTGATCCACACTAACCATAGTACAACCTGGAGGTGCCCAAAGACGCCCACACCAGGGGTTGCCCCGGTGTGCAGACACACACTGCATAAAGCAAGACCAAGGGACTCTGGTCTCCTTGTTCTTTCCTCACTGGACCCTCAGCTGAAGCAGAACCACCTGCTCCACCCCAGCTTCTTCTCCAGGATTTCAACAGAGCTGAGAGATTTCAGCTCAGAGTTACACACAGAAAGCTGCTGGCTAAAAGGCATGCTCCTTTTGGAGAAGTCAACAGTAGGGCATGTGAAAGGCATTTGCTATGAAAAGAAATAGAAACAAAAAAAGGGAAAGAGAGAAAGAAAAAGAGAAACTATCGTTGCTTGCTAAAACACAATTGCCTAATGCTTGAACAACTGTAATAACCAGCCAGTGCTGGCAGACTGATGCCTATCCTGACAAACCTTTCTGAAAATTCACATGCAGAAAAAGTGGAAATACTGGTAGGACTTCAGTTATCAGCTTCTCAGGGGACACCACAAATAATAAGCAGTTCCCTCACAAAAGTACCCTAATGGCATCCTAGCTCTACAAAAAATTATGTTTGAAAATTTTTTTCTGAAATATAAACTTGCCATGCACTGTCAAAATTAAAAGGAAATATAGGGCATTTTTAAGAGAAACTCCATGGGGAAAAGCAACTGTGAAATAGCCAAACATCAATTATGAAAACCCCAGCAAGAAGAGGCTCTTGTGCACGGGCTTCAGGGTTTAGGGATTTCAAGAAAATGTGCATCCTAGTTTTGACTCAAAATGTAGGCACAAAATGAGCAACTCTCCTCAACTTATACAGCGTGGTGAGTATATAACCCTTTAAAGTCACTGTGTCTATACAACTTTCTTGCATCTCCCAGCTCACGGCAATCTTTGCTCTCCACTCCCACGTCCCCCACAGCATTGGAGTGACAGGCTTACTCCCATCCTAAGTTAGTGCAGAAGGAACAGCCGATACTACTGTGACATGGGCAAACTTCTGCTGACGTGTGCACCCCAGCCACCCAGTAGCTTGCTCACTGGTGGCATTATCACGATTTCTACTGCAAACCTTCAACCAAAGCCTCCTCCTCCCCTGCTACTTCCCACAGACAACTCTGAACAGGCTGTGGGCAGCACTACTTCCTTCTACCTGAGGGCAGAACACATATGGGAGGAAAGCAAAATGTAAGAAAGTGAACAAAAGCAGAGGGATTTGGGATGATTCTGCCTGTGAGTCAGGGCTGGATCATTTTCCCAAGCTTAGAGATGATCGTCTCATTAGTGCATGATTTGGGATTTCCACAGGGCAGGATCCAGGAGAGGGAGCAACCAGAGCAACGAGTACCCAGGGTAAAACCAGGAAATGCCTACCCACAAGACCCACAGAAAAAGCAATGGTGTGATCTTATTCTTCCTTAAAATAACTTGCAAGTCTGTTGGTTTGTGGCATTGCTGTTTAATAGTACAGAGCATTATTACAGAAAAACAGCATAAACCAAACAGTTTTCATAAAGGAAAAAAAAGACATCTTGGTTCATTTGCTTTTTTCCTCCACTCCTGCGCTTCTATCTCAAGGGTCACACATCCTCCTACATGGAATGCCTGGATGCAAGGCTTCACCAAGAATTTTTCCTCTCTGATGGCCAGCGGCACCAGGCATTTTCCTGTCTCTTCTTCCAGGAGCAACGGCTGTTCATTATTCCCATGCCCACTCCCCATGGCCAAACAACTACACAGAAAACAGAAAAGGTGAAAGCAAGACTATTTAAAGCTGCAAATCAAGAACGCAAGGCTTAGGAAACCTCAGCTTTATGGTTGCCTGTGCAACCTTCGACCCTCTTTCCTGCCTGTGTACCATGGCAGAGCTGTTAATCACATAATCACAGGCTATTTTTCTACGGGACCTCGGCCTCACCCAGTAGAGCAGGATACACAGTGCTCACCTAGCGAGCACCCAGTCCCTATTTCATCTTCTCGGCACTGTTTGAGGTGTGGCCCCAAGCCTTGTTTACCAGGTACCTGCCACGCTCTGCTCTGCAGATGGAATTAGTAATTTACTCATGGCCTTTCCTACAGTACGCATCACTAGAGTAACTGAATGTCTCACAAACATAAAGGAATGTATTTTCACAATGCCCTCTTAAAGTAAGACACTGTATTATCCGTATGTCATGGGCAGGGAACCAAAGCACAGAGGGATTAACGTGAAAAGCTTCCACTAATTTTAAATGCCTAACTGAAACTCTTAGGTACAAATCCTTCAAAGATTTGTTTTGCCTGTTGAGGATGTGGTGACAACCATTTCTTTAAGCCAAGTTTGGGCTGATGCTCTTGGAGACAGAAGAAATGATGCCCCTGACATATATACCATTCAAATTACTGAGTTGTTAATGTGGAAGCTTGCTTTCTCATTTCTTTGTACATTTGTTATATTTAACATGCATCAAAAAATTCAAGAGAGGTATAAAAGAGCTGTTTTCTAAATACACATTCTGAGGCTGGGATGGAAAATTTCTGCCCAGACAGTTTAAGTTTAGTAAAGTTGTGAACAACTAAAAATGAAGGTCTTAAAATAGGGAAGCTGTTGCATGGCCTCAACAGAAGGTCACTGCCATAACATACACCTTTCTTTCTCTTCTCAGCTGTTGAAGAAACGACACAGGTCAATTGCTACACTAACAGAATCAAGTCAAACTGAAATAAATGCAAACTGTAACTAAAGCTTTATTTCTTATCCTGGTTCTGTTCAGGTAAACAAGATCAATTTATTTTTAACCTTAATGCACAACAAAGTCTTGTTATTCAATTCCAAATAGCAGCTTTTGCTTTGAGAATAAGCCCCACCTTTCCTCCTGTTCTCTCGAAAAGAGAAAGCAAGTGTCAGGCACTGAGGCAGCACTGGTCATAAGCTGGATATAGGACAGGCAGATGGACAGTACTCTGAGCTAGTGAATCTTACATTGGTATAAACTGATCCCTCCCCTGATTATTTGCAGGGAGATTCACAAATTCCTAAAAAAAAAAAAAAAAATAAAAGCCCATCTGAAAATTTCAGGGGGTGATTTATCTGTGCTAACACCAGGAAAGAAAGACAGACAGACAAAAAGACAGACGGTTGGGGGGGCGTAAATAATTCAACCAACTGCTGGTGCCAGCCTTTTTCAGAGCAATAAAGTAATTTTAGAGACGCTTTTGTGGGAGCGTAAAATCCAACCCTGCAACTGTCCACCAAGTGTGCGCAGGACTTGGGACACACACACACGACACTGGATGACACTGTGAGACAATGCGGGAGCTGGTAGAATTGGTTCCTCCATCACCTTGGGAACACGCAAGGACAACCCTGGGATAACTCCCGACAGCTCCTCTTTGCCACCCAAGCTGTATTCTTGGCAAATGATGAACTGTTCCGCCCCTAAACACATTCCACATCCACAGAGAGAGAACACAGACCCGGTTTCTCTGTCCTGCACTGAAAACTCGCACTGAAAACTCGCACTGTATATCACTGTTTTTCAGTTAGTGATGTCTCCTGACTGCACTAACATTGACTAATTTAGTATTTTTAATTACAGAGGGATTTAAAGCACTGCACTACAGTGCTCTCTTTTATTATACCCACTGTTTCTGCTGAATCTGGGTACACTCTACATACAAAGTTGCACATTAGACAAATTACACTGTACATTAAGTAAATCTCTCTCTAGAAACAGGATTAGATGGAGAGGCAAATCTTCCTCATTCCTAGTGCATAAATTAATATCTACAAAATCAATATGAAATAAGAGCTCCACATCAATTAATGAAAGAAAAATAGTTTAAACGTACTCCACAATGAAACAAATTTATGTAGGAGATGCATTCCTTTTCTGCTATTTTGCTTAATAAATAAAACAGCTGGTCCGAGGAATCAGGTCAATCAGTGTCTGGAAAAAGCCCCATTAAAGCTGCTATATAACCTAGTTTCTCAAGCTGTGTAAGGCATCCTAATATTGGAGAGGCAGAAGTCCATGCAGAGACAGTTCGGATGGCTCAGCTCCTAGCCCTTCAGGGTCATGGAGGATATTTATCACAGAAGACAGCAGTAAGTGAGGTATCTCACCAAGATCTAAGGAGATAGGCTCTGAAGGAGCACAACCGAGACAACGCAATGCATCCAGACCTATACAAAAAATAAGGCTAGTAATCCTGGGCACCCAAGATGAGGTCATCCAGCATAAGGAGATGGTAAAGGACCAGATTTTCACATATGCTCAGATCCCCTCAAAGCTAGCCTAGCCTTGCTGCCACAGTAGGTGATAACACCTCTCCTCATGGCACTCAGTGGCTACGTGGTTCCATCCCTGCCATGACATGTGGGAGGATGAATCTGGCAGTGCCCAAAGCCACGGGTGTGTTGTGTGGGCACAGAGCCTATTCCAGTGCAGGCAGAAACCTCCAGCACCAGTCCTCCTCCTCCCGCACAGCACACAGCTATTGTCACGACATCCAGGCCCTGGTCACCTCAGAAAATGTAGCCCTTCCTATCTTCAGTAGGTTTAAAAATGTTTTGCAAAGGGTATCACAATCCACATCCTACAGAGATAAAAATGGACCCAGAAGACAGCCAAGTGACTTGCTCAAGCCTAAAGAGCAAGGCAGCAAGGGAATTGGGAAATGAAACCTCCTGGCCCACAGCCCTAGGTTTTAGCTTCTTAAATAAAGATTCTCTTTCCTCATTAAAAAACTAAAAACGGGAAGAAGGAATATTCTGTACACAGAATGAACTTCACCCTCAGAGGGCTAATGACCTGATATACTTTTTTTTCCTTCTCACCTCCATTTCCCCTGATAAAGTTACAGTAACTTTAAGGACTATCCTTCTTTACTGGTCTACTTTAACCTAGCATGTCGGCTCAACATCCTTTTCCCAACCATCTGAAGCCAGAGACCATCCTTCCCAGAGAGGAGATTACCTTCTCGCTTTCAGTCTCTCTGGACATCCTTGCAACATCCTGGACTGAGACTACTCTGCTTTCTGCATCGTGCTGAGGGACTCCAAAGTCCTATCCACTGGTCTCAGCCTGCAGTACATGGCAGCCTGAAAGGGTACCCTGGAGGTAAAACCTGGTTGTTCTCTATTAATTTTTCATTTCAAGAATGGCTCCAGGGAAAGGAGGGAGATATAGGTCAGAGACTTTGGGGGCTGATTAGTAACTCTGTACATCTTCCTTCCTTTTTTTCCTCACTTTTTTTTTTTATCTTCCAAATTCAGAAACAGAGGGTTTTCCCTGTGTATTTCTCATTTACTCCTTGAACATCATCGGCATTAGTCAGCAAACTCCTGCTATTTCCTCCGCAAGCCCCTGATACTTGTAGAGTGACTAACCCACTCTCCACACACACTCTGGCTCCAGTAGTTGCATCTGGGTTGTTTCCTCAAGAAAAATGGGTCTCCACGTTGCACACGTGCAGTTCTCCCTGTGGTCAGAGCCACATAGGCTCCTGCTGCCACATGGCTGCAAACACCGCGATTTTTTACACACAGACTTGAAGAGTCAGGAGGTGATGGCAGGGCCTGCTTTCAGGTCACTTCTTAACTCATCACCACAGCAGCAGTGTCCCTCAAACTGGGAAGCGGTTAGCTACTGCCCCAAGCACAGGCATGTGGAGAACATAATGGAGAAAGCCTGAAGCCACCTGGCTTCTCTTCGCAGCCCTGCCAGTAACCTGGTCTGTCGGGTCACATTGCCTTCAGGGGTCTGCATTAGCCTCTCCTTCCCAGGACCAAGAGCCTCTGCCCTTGTCAAGCAATGTGCAGAAGGCCTCAGCTGGGCTTCTGAGGCACAAACGCCGGGTGAGTGAAAACACAGCTCCTCATGACTCAAAGCCGCCACATCAGAGCATGACAGAAGGCTCGTCCTGGCCAGGTGGCCTTTCACAAGATGCCCACTCACAGCCACGCTCACAGAGGACCTCGCATGCGACTCACATTCACGTAGGCTTACCCACAGACCTGCCCACACTGTGCTCGAACAAACAGCAAGTTTGTTGCACTGACCTTCCCAGAGTGATGCCAAAATTGCACAGACCACTCTCCCCTATATCCACACGCATAGAGGATGTCTGCCTCCGGGAGAAGGCCATGCCCTCAGGCAATGGTAGGGGCTACGTGCTGCCACCCACAATGGGAACAACCATCCAGAGCAGACCATATCAATAAGGATCAGTGGGAAGGCTGGTCAACTTGGTGCTGCGTAAGTTTATTCCCCATTTAACCTTGACACCCCCACCCCAGCACCGACCCCACTCCCACTGCCGTTACCTCCATCTCCATTGTAGGAGAGCCTTCTGCATCACTGTGTAGGGAGGCATGAAAATAAACCACAGGCTCCACTGCCACACTCCCTCCTGGCAGATCTGCTTCTCTCTTCTTAACTGTTTCCAAGTGCCTGGCTGTTTTATAATCCCCACTGAGCATTCCCTTAACTCCTTCCTCACTGAGTCCTTCCACTCTCCCTCGCCTGCTCTCTCCTAAAAGGCAGAAA